GTTGTTTCCATTAAAACATTAATTTCTTTGTACTCTGATGAAAGAAAATGTGTTCAGAAGTTTAAACCCTTCCATAGTTTTTTATGGTATTTTTGAGTATGAACAGTATTTTGAGTATGAACATGTGTGAAAACAATTGCACACACTTACTGGTTTCATCTGGATAACATGTTTTTACAACTGGCTTCCTCTGTTTGTGAGAAACCTTTTTTCTCATTCTTGAATTTCATAGTGATCAGAAACATCTTGATGTTCAGTACCTTAAAGAGAAAGAGGAAGAGATTGCTGAAGAGCGACTTGCCAAGGTATATTATCCTTCTCATGTCAGTTGCTGTTGACCTGCTGTGAAGTATTAATGTAATACTGTAATAATGTAAATTTTTGTTGATTTGGTTTGATTTTTTTGTTTTCATAGCAGCAAAACGAACACCAATTTCTAGTGAATTCTAAGAGGCACAGCCTGAGACTTATCTCTTAGGATTTCTATCTTGGCCTAACACCAGTGAACTGGGTGTCAGATTGCGCAATTAGCAAAAACAGATTCAGATTGCTAAATCTGACTCATCCCCAGAGTTGGAAAGTGAAGATTGTGCCACTTGCTAATGTCAGGGCTCTGTCAAAGGGAAGTTAATGTCACAGCAGAGGTTTCCATGAATGTCCGAGACAGAAGAACCCCCTGTTAGAGCTCTGCTGTGTGTGTGTGGGCAGAGAGACACTGCTGTGAGTCAGCTGTGCTGACATGAAATGGGAAATAAGTGCCTACAGCGAAGAGATGAACTTAAAGTGAATGTTAGGGATGTGAACTACTGGGTAGCAGGATGATCTGGAATGAGATATGTAGCATCAATTAAGTAACAGATATTTTTAAACATATATATATATGTGTGTGTATTCAACATTAAGACTGCATCTAATGTTTTTGAACTTTTCCAGAATAAAGCAGTGGAAGAAATGCTGAAAATCAAAGCAGAGTAAGTCTAAGTATTGTTCCTTGAACTGGAAGCTAGTATTCAACTAATTAATGACAGAAAAAAAGATACATTTAAGCAATAGAAGTCCAAGATCTGAAATGACAAAAGACATAATTTGAAAGTATTTACACTTCTGCAAGATACCTTGAGTTCTTACTCTTTCTCATCAGTAGGTGGTAGTAGCACCTATTACTAGATAGCATTATATCAGGGCAATACTTTAATGGGTAGAACCATAAAAACTTGAATTGGAAGGGATGTTTTTAATTGTTTAAAGTTATTTATATGCAGTGAATTGCAATAGCATTCCTTTTCAAATTAAATTGAAATACTGTTCATTTCTTTATTAATATTGCAAATGTTTTATAATTTTAAACAAAATGTAATTATTTGGGGTTTATGCTATTTGTTTAAATTTCTGTGGCTCAGCTTGAAAAATGAATTTTTTTTTTTATTATAGGCTTTCTAAATAGTGTTTGCACTTTTGGGCAAGTAGTCCTCAAAACTCAAGTGTTTTGTACCTTGGATGGATAATAGCAAAGAAAGAAAATACTGAATCAGTAGATAAAAATTACTTTGGAAATGTCTGTCCTGCTGTTCTTTTCCTAATCTGTACTGCTTCAGGATTTATTGTGGCTGAATCTCCTAACCACAAGAGTTATTTTCATTTGATGGAATGCTTTCTATGCAAGTAACTTCTTTTAAGGAGGAAGGTAGTTCTTATGCACATGGTAATTTCAAAAGTAATTTGCATTAAATTTTCCAGAAACCCTAGTCTGGAAATTAGGGATTATTTTGCTATTTGATGCACTGATTTTGCATTCCTGTCTGATCTCTGAAACACACTTCATAGCAGTGCTACAATGTGTCATACAGGCAAATAATGGACAGAGGGAAAACATTCTTTTCTCATCAAGAAAACGTCTTGCCAAATGCAGCAAATGAATACTGTTCACAGAGCAGGTCTTAAAACACCATGCTTCAGTAAAACAAACTGGTGACAGAAATTTCATGTATGCAATATTTGAATTGATCTGCAAAATTACTCAAGTTCATAGAAGCAATAGACAGGCTGCTAAGTTTGATGGCACAGTTTAATATCCTGTGACCTCATTTGCTGAAAATGTTTTAATTCTATCAGAAGTGGTACTCATTCTCTTTCCAGGCCAACCAAGCAGGCTCAGACCATCTGAAGTGCTCAGAGATGTTTCTGAGCAATGAGGCTGTCAGGGGGGAAAAGCCACAGACAAACAAGCATTTTATAGAGGGAACCTGTAGAGCAGCTGAGTTTAGCTGGAAAATTTACATTCCTTAGGTGAATTAATTGAAAGTGTTCTTATAGGTGAAGCTTCTGTTTTCAATCATGAGTGGAGTTGTATATCCAGGATTGCAAACAGCACAGTTCCCAAAGAGAAGAGCAGCTCCAAAACACTGCCTAGTTGATAGTCTCAAACACAAGAACTGTGAAGCAGAATGAATTTTTTCCTTTCTTTAGCACTAAATTCTAAGGGAAATACAGTATCTCAAAATAATGCTTTTAAAGGAACCTCCCTCCATGTCCAAGACTGACTTAGGAATTCAGTTGTATGACATTTTTGTTGGTTTTTAATGTTTTATGATTCTTTTATATTGGCAGATTAGAAGAGACCAAAAATATCCTCAGAATCCAAGAGAAAAGCTGTCGTGAAATGACTTTGGAGATGGAACGAACAAGGACATTGGAGCTCAAAGCATTTAATGAGAAAGAAGAAATTAGATCAAAACTAGAGGAAGCATATGAAGAAAAAGACAGGATTGAAAAGGTTACATAGACATAATTTTTTTGTTGTCTTCACAGCAGAATCTTATTTAGCAGAGGTACAGCTGGTTTGTTTTGCAGTTTAGCTACTGAAAGTCTGGATACAGAAATCACTTAGTAGTACAAATCAAATGGTGCTCCTTTTTTGCCTTTTAGAGGGATATAACATAGTGTCTAAGGAGACATAAGACAAACATATATTTCCTGAGTGAACCAACTCTTGCATCATATGTTACAACAAACCTGAATGTTAGTATGATAATAGCTCTAAGAATTGCTTCTGAAAAGAGAAGGAGAGGCTACTGCTAAGAGGTACACAATGTATTTATTACTACAGGAAATAAAATTGCTGAGGAAGCAAGTTGACTCGCTTGCTGAGGAGAATGGGAAATTACTTGGTCATCAAAACCTGAACCAGAAGATTCAGTATCTTGTGAAACTGAAGAAAGATTATGCTAAACTTACAGAGGTAAGTTGCAGAGTAGATTACAGATGTAGTAATGGCCTGACATAGCAAAGAGCTAAGCTTTGAGAATGAAGACTAAAATTCCTGCTCTTCTGTGGGAGAGGAACAGAGATACCTTTGATCTCCATTTTACTTCCTCAAGTAGATAGTGTATAAAACACTTGAATAACTCAGCATCACAACAAGATACTGCTTGTGTAAAAATAACAAAGTGAGGATAATTTCCTTAATATATCCATGTTTTTTCTCTGTTTTACAGGAGACTGAAAAGCTACGAGTTGAAAACATTTTTTTGAAAGAATCAAAAAAATGTGACATTTGTAGACAAAATCAGCGGTAATGACCCAAATAAAACTGCAGAGCCATATATTTGAAGTGTACAGAATAAGCAAAAGTCAGTTGTCAAATCTGACTTTTGCTGTGGTTCTGGAATAATCAAGTATTCTAGTTTGTAGATTTTTTGCTGGTAATAACTCTAAGTGAATATTGTTATTCCAGCTCTGTGGGCAGCTTTCAATAAAATTTTAACACCTTTTTGTAATTTTTTTTCAATTTAAAAACCTGATTTTTATAGATACTAGGTAGATACTTCCTTGAAACTTCTGTACCTTGCCAAGGAAAAGCTTTCTCCCTGGGAACACACCTGGATTTTTCTCTCCCTTTGTACTTTTATTCAGGTTCCTACTACTTCTGAAATGCTACATTTTCCATCAGAGCCAAAATTCAAAAAGCACAATTTCTTTGTGTTTGTTTTTTTTTAGTTAAACATAGAATGATTTTCCTGTGTTGCTTAAAAATAATTTTCATATTAAACTTTGTTCAATAAAGCATAAATGTGAATTTAGTAACAGGCTTGTAAATAGTACTATAAATTTTTTTTTTTCTGTTCTTTTTTTATTTGAAAATAAAATACTTTTCAAACCTGTTTTCTGTTAGTATAGACTTTGAGCTCTGTATTAACACTATAGGATTCTGAGGGTTTTGCAACCCTTTTCTTATCAAAGAAGTGAAAAATGTTAGGAAAGAAGATGTGAAAATATGCAGAAAATTTTACAGGAGTACACCATAAGTTCATTTAATTGCACTTAAAGATTTATTGCAAATAACTGAAATGCTTATTAGTGGAACACAAAATGTTGATTTCTATAGCAATATCAAACTAGGGTGTTTTCTGCTTTCTGGGTAATTCATACAATAATAGTTTTGACCACAAGCACTGGGGCAAAAGGGAATAAAGAGGAAATATGTGTCTGGTAAAGGGTAGAATATACCTAATGATTTACTACATTATTTGGCTGAGGGAAAGAAGACTTTCCACTACCTTACCTATTTTAAGCTGCAGATTTGTTTGCACTTGAGATGTGGAGAAATAAAAAGCTGACCTTAAAGGGAAGATGTGCTGGGGTGTGAGTAGAGATCAGAACTAGCACGGATGAGGAGCACACGGGTCGAGAGGGGCTAAACAAGGGTGGTTTTATTTGTGACTGCCCTGTTCTAAGTTTACAAGTATTAATTTCCTGTCTGTTTCTGGACTATCGCCATGTCGGCAGCGGCTTCTGCCCTTTTTTCTGTGTTGTACCTGGCCACAGCAGGAGCTGCGTTGTACCCCGGCCCCGTGCTTCCCTGCTTGTTCCCATAAATCCTTTGTACACAAGCGAAAACGGCCCACGGGCCCTTCCGCCGCTGGGGCCCGCCCGCCCGCGCGGGGCGGCGCTGGCGCTGCGCGGGGCCGCCGGGGCCGGGCCGGGCCGGGCCGGGCCGGGCCATGCGGGCAGGGGCCGGGGCGGCAGCGGCGGCTGCCGCGGGGGGCCTGGGGGCGGCGGCGGCCGCCGCGGCGAAGCTGGCGCTGGGCCCGGGCGGAGAGGCTGCCGGCGGCTCGGTAAGGAAGGAGCGGGAGGCACTCGGCACCGGGTCTTGCGCTGCTCGTCGCGGCGGTGGAGGGGAAGGAGCGCGCTGGTTCTTCCTGCGGCGCTCCAAGGGGCTGCCCTGGATTTGCAGGGAAAGCGGGCGGCCTCCGCGGGCGGAGCCGTGACTCAGCCCCGGGGAAGCCCAGCCTTGCGGGGCTGAGTAAGGCGCGGTGCCGACGTAAACAGCGCGGGGCGGGCAGCGGGGCTGCCGGGTGTGAGGGGAACGAGCGTGGTACGGGAATGCCCCGAACCAAGCGCAGCTCTGGGAGCTCATATCCAGCCCTTCCACGTCAGTGTTACTTTAAAGCAGGATGTTAGTATGAGCATCAAATGCTTGTTCTCAGCCCACTGTTTTGCTGATGGCAGCGCCCTTCTCTCATTTATTCTCTCTCAGCTCGGCCCTGCGCAGAGCAGAGAGGTGCAGCCCTTGATTTCCTTTTGCCTCTCTTTGGGTGTTCATGATCTTTATCTGGGTCGCGTTTCACAAAGCTCCGCGTGCTTGAGGTTACGTGGGAGTGCTGGCCCTTCCGCTCAGAGGCGGTGTCCTTACCTCCAGCAGTGACCCTGGCACAGCCACGGCAGAGGGGGACATGGGCCCCAGGCTGTGTGTGAGTGGGGAGGGAGGAAGGCAGCATGCATGTATCCTAAAAGCACTTTGGGGAGGTTCATTTAAGCATAGGTTGTTACTCACATGGCAAATGTACAAAAGGGAGCCCACAAGGGAAGCTACATCTGAAACAAATCCAGCCTTGCACAAGGGGAAAAAAAAAAAAAAGAAAAGAAATTGACATGTGTGATTATTAGAGAGAGTTAAAAAGGCAAAACCTCAGTACCTGCCAATCCTGTTGATCCCTTCTGAGATCTCCGAAAGGAGAAATAAAAAAAAAATCCTGATACTCTTCACTGTGCCCAAAAATCACAAATTGTGCTCTGTACTGAGAGAATGGCAGAGCATGAAATTACTGAAAATGCTGACAGCATCTTTTCTCAGTATTTTTCTCTGTTGAAATTTATAAAAATATTGCCCATTTTTGGGGTGGTAGGGGTGGGAGGAGGTTGGTACTTCTTTTTTTTTTAATGTGCTATGACAAAGTATCATGTCGTTGATGTGAAGTGTTGCCAGAAGGTCAAGAGAGATTATCCCTCCCCTCTACTCAGCCCCAGTGAGGCCACACCTGGAGTTTTGGGTTGAGTTCGGAGCTCTCCACTGCAAAAGAAGAGATGGAGCTACTGAGAGTCCAGCAAAGGCTCATAAAGATGATGAAGGGATCAGAGCATCTTTTTTGTGAGGAGAGGCTGAAAGAGCTGGGACTGTTCCTCCTGGAGAAGAGAAGGTTCAGGGGGATCTTTTCAATGCGTAGAAGTACCTGCAGGGAGGGCGCACAAAGGATGGAGCCAAGCTCATTCCAGTGGTGCCCAGTAACTAGACCAGAGGCAAAGGGCATGTACGGGAATGGGCAGTTCCTTCTGAACACCCAGAAACTGTGAGGGTGACCAGGCACTGGCTGGCCCAGGTTGCCCAGGGATGTGGTAGAGTCTCCATCCTTGGAGATACTCATGTACTGTCCGGACATGGACGGGGCAATCTGCTGGAGTGATGAGGTTGGACCAGATGAACTCTGGAGATCCCTTTCAATCTCTGCCATGCTGTGTTTCTTTTTTGTGGGCAGATTGGTTTATTTTGGTTTTCAGGTCCACTCCAGGTAACAATTATTAATTACTCATCTTAGCTGTAAAACTAGCCAAGTTTTATGTAAATGCCATAATCTTCCTAGTAGCTTAAATTGCACAGGACTGTAGATGCATAAGTATTTCAGTGCACATATGTGGCAAAGGCATTTCTGCAGAGCAGCCACAAGGTGACAGAGATTTAAGGGGTTTTGTGTTGGAGGAAGAGCTACAGAAATCCCAAAATAAGTGAGATAGCAGCCATCACTTGTGCAGTGTGGAACACGGCAGCAAAAAATGTATTGACACTTCTAAGAGCTGATGATGCAGGGTAGCAGGATACTCCATGGCACCACAGGGATGGATTTCCTGGCCACAAGGATGTGTTGTGGTCTGAGAGCCTGAGAGCAGTGTGACCAGGAAGGGTCATTGCACTTGAACAAAAGTTTTTCTTTGCTTTCTCCGCTCCCCTGCCAATCTTCATCTAAAATTACTTCTGCCACTTCAGGAGTGATTCTAGATTATCTGAAATGTACACTGAAATTAATCTTTGCTTAGAAAAGCAATCAGAACAGTAATCCTTGACTCACTGGGGTGGCTCAGCTGAGTCCTTAGCAGGGGAGGAATTTATCTCCCTTCTTCCTTGTAGGGAACACGTGGGGATGTTCCTATCTGTCTGCGTACCATTGCAGTGACCACTCTGCTGCCCTGGGCACAGAGAAACTTGACCTTTCTCTGATAAACTTTCCTTCTGGGCATGTGCCACCTGCAGCTGGTTTCCCTGGCTCTGCATTAGGAGATCAGAAGAAGCCGTGGGTTCTGGGTCACTTTTGAAGGTGGCATAGTTGCTGTGACGGTGGGAGCCAGCTTTGCTTCGTCACCAGTAGTCTCGGACTAGCTCAAGTCTGGCCAGATCTCTGGAGGTCTCTAGTCCAACCTTTGTGTACACATGATCTTCTCCAGTTAAGTTTTAAGTACTTAGAAGGTCTGAGAGCCCATGACCTTTGTTCCATACTTGTTGCCTCTTGTCATATCCTAATGGACCTTGGAGAAGAGCTTGGGCTCCATCCCTCTACACCCTCAGGCTAATGGTTGAAGGCAGTAACAAGATTTCTTAAGGCTTTTTTTTTTTTTTTTTTTACCTCAGCAGCACGGGTCTCTTTCTGCTCCAGAAATACACTGGAGTTAGGTGAAACACAAAGAATTGTTTTCCCCTCTCATCCTCACTCCCAAGTCTGCTTACTCACTAGAGGTGTGTGGATGTACGTAACTCCCTGAGGAAAGTCAAACTGCCAGGTCATACAGGCAGAGAGTGAAACTGGGAGGCAAACCCCATTCTGTGGTGAGCCCTAACAGAGCAGAAGTTTTCTTCCTCAGAGGAGCAGTAGTAGCTAGGCATAGTTGTCCCTCTTACCCATCCACACAGGGTTTGCCTGTCAGTGGGATGTCAGTGGGAAAACAAACTGATTCACTGGTGGGAATCATTCTGAATCTTTACTGTTGTCCTGATTAGTTGCAACCTTTGTCCTGAAAAGTTGGCAACCTTTGCCACAACTGGGGCAAAATGAGGCCACACACTTGCACCATCCCTCACTGGAGTGAGATTAGTCTCAGAGAGCTTGTGCCAGCCACCTAGCATGGATTTGCTTTGCGTTGTTTTCCTTTTAACTTTGTACTTACCATATCACTCACTTCAGAAAACTGTGGGCTCCCCCACTGCTTGCAATTAGTAATTTCTTCTTCTGAGTGGGAGCAGGACACAGTTGGTGGACGCTGTTGATTTGGGCAGCTGGCAGGAGGACACTGCAGCCATTCCCACAGGGCAGGTGCCACCTCTGAGCTGTGGCCTCAAACCTGCATTTCTGTCTGCCTCAAGATGGATCCCACTGTGGACTGAAAGGTGGCAGGCTATGAAGCTCTGATTGCTACGGCCATAGACAAAGCTTTGCTTTCACTTGTCACTGTGAGAGTTGGGATCTGCCTGCCTGTGATCTCCCTTGGGGTCTTCACATCAACTACATGGTACCCAGGGGCTGGGGAGATGGCCTCAGCTGCTTAAACAGGGAAGGGGTGGAAGGCACTGAATGGTGCTGGATTTTTAGGTGCAACTGTGCCCTTTTTTCAAACTGAGGCAGTTACACATCTGGTCAGGTTGTCTAAGGAGGGAGATCTTTCTTGAGGCCCTTGAATTCAAAATTGGATTTATTGCTACTAAATGTTAGAACAGAGACCCCATCAGTAAACTTCCCTGCTCTCCAGTGAGTAAAATAAGGCAAAAGCCACTCCTGGTGCAAAACAAGGCATGAAGCCACTCAGCTTGCTCTTTCCTCCCAGAGATCCTGCTCTACCCTCACTGCAGCAGTAGGGCAGGGCAGGTCCTGGGAGCTCATAAGGACCAGTGCTTTGGGCCGCCCAGGTCCTGGCTCACATTCACAGCTGGGTTCTGGAGCACACACAGTGCCAGCATGTACATCTCTGGTGTTTGTCAGACTGAATTTGACCCTTTTCCATACATCAGGTGATAAGTGAGGGGCATTTATGGGCGTTGTGTGTGGCACCACTTCGTGAACTGGAGAACTTTCTGCAGGTTGGCTTCTGGCATGGCAGCTGCTGCACATTATCCCAGCACTTCTCAGGTTGTCGTGTGAGGCTGGGCTTGCAGCAGGACATGGCAGGCTCACAGTCTGTCCAGAGCTGTTTCCTTGTTTTCATTTCCTTCTGTGATTTAATATATTCATCTTTGTGTAATACCAGCCAGCCATAATTCAGTTTTAAAAGCCCACACCATTAGGTTTGGCTCCAAAGTGTGCGTGAATTATTGAGGTTGAATAAGTAGGGGGTGAAAATACACAGAATTTTCCATTTTGTTCCGCAGCTGCCAGCGTTGCTTCGCCTCAGCTGTGTTGGCCTGGTGTTTGTGTGCAATGCAGTGATGTGGACAGTCTTCACAAAAGCCTTACGACTCTCCTCCTCCTCAGCTGCTGCCTCTGTGACAACAACAGCCTCCAACTTCATCTTTTCGGTGAGTAGACCCCTTCCCCAGACACTGAAGCCTGAGGAGCACAGCCAGGTGAGAATGCCCACGCTGGTTGTAACTCATCTCCCAGTGCAACCAGCATCTCTGGCCACAAAGGGAGAGTGGGAAATGATTGTGTCAGGCCTCAGCTGCTCTGATAGCTGTGGTGGAACTTTCCTGGTGGTGCAGGAAGAAGGGGGTTGCAGCAGCAGTTGCAGTTTACTGAAGTTTTCTGATTGCCAGTGGGAGCTGGGGCTGGGAGCTTTGCTTCATTTTGCTTTTCCTTTGCAGCACCTCACTTGTGACAAGCCAGAGTCATCCTAGCTGAGTCTGAAGATGCAGCATCTCTAGTGACAGCAAGAGAGTCTTTGACCCGCAGGTTTTTTTCCACGTGCTTTTTTGCTCTTTACAGCAGTCCACCTTGTTTCTGTGCTCCAGCTGGCAGACAACTCATGGTGGTGTCCAGTAATCGACAATCATAATAAATGCCCAGTCAGTGGGAAATTTGGCTCCTGAAAAGTGCTGGGAAGGCAGCAAAGCACATGTGCATCTGTCAAATTCTGCCTGGGGACCACAGTATGGCTGTGCTTCCAGGCTGCTGGTGGAGTTGGTCATCTCCACCATCATCTTCAGCAGCCATTCCTGTTGGCCATCCCAGTAGGAGTTTCCTCAACCAGGTCTTTTCCAGGGCTGTCTCTCCCAGAAGTCCTCACAGCTCTGGCAGCACAAGAGGCCTTGGGGCAGCTCAGCCCAGCAAAGCTTTGTGTCTCTCTTTTCCTTCAGGCTGTCCTGGGAAGATTGCTCTTCGGGGAGACATGGACACCTCTGTGGTGGGTCGGCCTTGCCATGACAGTCTGCGGGCTCATGCTGCTGCACACGGCTGCGCCCCAGCTGGTGCCAGTCCCAGCGGAGAAGAAGGAATGATAGCTGCTGCAGGGGCCACGGTGCCATGCTGCCTCTCTCCAGCCTGTCTCATGACAGCATCCCCAGTCCCCACCGGCCTCTCAACACGTCGGCCACCGAGGTGCTAACCCCTGCTCAGTGCTCATCTGCTGACTTGCAAAATCACATTGGTCACATCTTTCCTGGTGGTGGTATGGTGGCAGTGACAGCTCGGAGGGAGCTGGTCAACTCTGAGTCAGTATTGTGAAAATCAGGGCCAGAGGCTTATCAGCCACTCCTCCTCTTCGCACCCTGTGGCTGTGGAGCTTTCCTAGTTAGGGGAATGCTGAAAGTAAATATAGTGGCTGTGGAAGGTGCTTGTACATCAGTATTTTTCCATGAAAGGACCTATCCCAAAATAGAAGAGCAATCAGAATTAGATGCTGAAGGCAGCTGTTATTTCTGCTCTGCTGTTCCTGACTTTTTGTCTCTTGAAATGGTTCTATGCCCACTGCTACCTATAAGGCTGTAGAGACTTTCATTAATTCCTTCAGCTTCCTCTATCAGTCACATACACCCTTGAACTTGGCATTTGTATCTGACTTCTAGAATTTTCACTTACCCATTCCTGACATGTTAGTCACTGTAAGGTTGCTGCTCTTTCCTTTAAACCCTTACCCAGAATAGGGTTTTGATCACCATTCCTGCTTTGTGTAGGTTAAACTAATTTTGGGACAGTTCAACAGGCAACCTGCTTCCACTTGGAGTGTCCATGTTCAATACATCCCTCATCCCCACTCAAGTTGAAAATTGCTTTAATGTTTGGTAAAAGGAAGTTTCTCAAGTTTCTCATGTTTTTTCTACACTTCTGGATGATGCTTATTCCCATTGATGTAATGTGATCAACCAGATCACTGGTATCTGCTAAATTTTGCATCAGTGATTACTCCACGTGTCAGTTTGGTGAATGTGTCATGAATCATCATTTGTAAGGTACTGACCTAATTCCCCTTCCCCCTTCTTTTTTTTCTTCCTTGGAAATTCTTCAGTTGGAATTAACAAATATAATCATGCCTATAAATGTATGCATCATGGTGGTGATATTGCTTGCTTGCTCTGGGCTTGCCAGGTTGTCTCTGTCATCTTGTAATGACAGAAGGTGAGTCACGGTTGTGGCATGTGCAGAAAACCTAAGGAACTGTGAGCATCTGTATCTGAACCTGTCAGGTCTGTCATGACTGGCAGATCTGTGCTGTGTCAAGTGGGTAAAATAGACTTGGATGGAAATGCCACTGGAGTTGAGTTTGTGCCTTCTTTGAATCAGAAGAGTCACTGTCTCCCAGAAGAGGCCAAGAGCCATTTTTTCTGTTCCCTGCCATTCTAGCTCACCACATCTGGCAGGCATGTCTCAGGAGGGGCAAAGCCTTTGCCTCTCCCCCTCAATATGCTCTCAGGTCTTCCTGTCAAAGAGGGGAGCTGCGTATGTGGTGGGAGAGAGGGCAGAGTGCTCTGAGTGTCTTCCCTCCCTGCCACCGTGGGTCTTTGAACCTGGGGAGCTCTCTGGGTGGCAGCAGTGGAAGCTGGGACCTGACACAGGGACCTCATAGGTCTGCAGACATGACAGCCAAGAGCCATGCATTTCTAAGTACATCAGGTCTCCTTAGATCTTCATAGATAATGGAAAATTAATGAAGCCTGATTTATTTGCCCTTGTTATTAACCCTCAGCCAGCTGTAAGCCATGGCTGCCTTCGTGCAAACGGCAGTAGAAGGACCAGGCACTCTGGTTAATTTGGCTGTTGTCCCATTTCCTAATAAACCATTTGGAAAGCTTTTTAACGTGGACTATCTCAAAACTGACGTTTCTTTATTACAGTCATTGTTGGAGGTCAGGGTTTAGGAAGTGTTTCTTCGAAGTGGAATGTGTGCAGAAGGTGTGAGCAGCACTTTGCTTTGTGGTGTTCCCTTTAAGGGTGAATATAAACCAGGGCTGTAAATTCTCTCATAAATACTTGAAGGTGGAAACAGAAGGAAGTTTTTCACCAATTCCCATGGTAAGGAAAGACAGCCAGTCAGGGTTCATTTTATGGCAGAATCCCACCCTTCTTGTGTACACAAGAGTTTGGCCATGTCTGCCAGTGGAGCCACAGCTACAAGAAAAACTGTAATCACTGTGTGGCAAAGCAGTGTACTTCTGGTAAACCATATGGGATCATCCAAAATGTGGCTGAAGGTAATTTAAAAAAACGAGGATTTCCAATATAAAACTGTGTCCAAAGCTCAGTGTCTGATTTTTTTTTATTTTTAGATATTTTAGATCTCAAACACACACACACACACACACACACACACAATAAAGCAATGTGAGAATAACAAATGAGCTGTGTTTGGCAAGTCAGTGGTTCAGATGTGGTGGACCTTATAAGGTGGCTGAGAAGATCATGGCCAACTCCAAGACTTTGGTTAACCAGGGCAGAAGATGGGTTACCTTTATGTGGGAACTACAGCAGTGTGCATACGTGAAGTTTTTGCTCAGTTGAGGTGAGGTATTATTAGAGAAGAGTCTTGGGCACATATTTCCAGCCAAATTCCAGCAAAATCTCACAGAAACACAGTGCTGTAACTACAGCAGTGGTGGGTAGGGACAAAGCCATGGATGTTGTCTGTCTGGGCTTGTGCAAAGCATTGGACACTGTCCTGCACAACATCCTTGTCTCTAAACTGGAGACATGGATTTGATCCCAGGCACACCTACAAGCTGGGCAGAGACATGACTGACAGCAGACTTGTGGCAAAGGACTTTTGGGTGGTGGCTGACCAGAAACTCAACATGAGCCAGCAGTGTGGGCTCACAGCCCAGAAAGCCAAACAAATCCTGGGCTGCATCTAAAGGAGTGTGGCCAGCAGGTGGAGGGAGGTGATTCTGTCCCTCTGCTCTGCTCTCTGAGACCCCACCTGTGGTGCTGCATCCAACTCTGGTGCCCCTGATGTAGGAGGAACATCCAACTGTTGGAGCAAGTCCAGGAGGCCACAAAATTCATAAGGAGACTGGAGCACCTGCCCTAGAAAGACAGACTGAGAAAGTTGGGGCTGTTCAGCCTGGAGAAGAGAAGGTTGTGGAGAGACCTCATAGCAACCTTCCAGTATCTGAAGGAGGCCTACAGAGAAACCAGAGAGGGACTGTTCATCAGGAACTGCAGTGATAGGACAGGGAGTAATGGGGACAAATTGAAAGAGGGGATTTAACTTAGATAAAAGGGAAAAAAATCCTACTGGAAGAGGTTGCCCAGAGAAGCTGTGGATGCCCCATCCCTGGCACTATTCAAGGCCAGGTTGGATGGAGCTCTGAGCAGCCTGGTCTAGTGGAAGGTGTCCCTGGTCCCGATAGGGTGTTTGGAGCTAGATGATCTTTAAGGTCCCTTTCAACACAAACCACTCCATGATTCTCTCACCTCCCAAGTGCTGGTTGTAATGAGTCTTTCCTGCACCTACCTCTCATTCTCAAACACAACACTTCGTTTTTCAGCATCTTATTCATCATCAGGCATGGCCGTACCATGTCATACTTTTAAAGAGTAGAAGAAGCAGGTGCATGGTTAACAGGAAGGCTCACAATGACACTCAGGAAGATTCAAAGAAGAATATTTGAATTAATGGTGGGAAGCAGAAACAGAAAAATGTTGTATAAACAAGCAAAAAATGTTGTATAAACAGGATCGAGGAGTATTGTATTCTAAGGTAAACAGTGTCTCATATACCTTTACAAGGAACAAAGCCAAATGCAATTACAGTTTCAGTTGAACCATAAACCATAATTTGACTGATTAGATAAGGAAAGATACATAAAAACTTTTAAATGTCCCTGTTGTCATTGACAAGGAGTCACTGAAAATTTGTACAGCATCTCAGTCACAACATATATTGAAATCCCTTGAAGGATGGTATGTTTGCCTAGGTGATAATTATTTGAAGTAGATGCAATAAATAAGTTTGGTAGCTTGTTCTACCAAGTTTGGTATATTCAAAATTTTCAAGGAATTTGACTCAATGCCCTCTGCTGACCCTTCAGAGACCTTAAATGATCACATTGCAAGAGTGTCCCACATGCACACATAATTACACAATCTTACAAGCAGTGGGGTGTTTTTGAAGAAGGAAGTTCTGTGACACAACATGCCAGAAGAGTGGCTCTGACCTTGTCTGGCACAGAAAAAAACATGAAATTAGGAATAAATGGGTACTAATCCTGATGTGTTCGGGGTGCTCTTCTGCAGAAGAGCAGCAGCAAACCTTCATTTTGGGGATCTGAGAGGTGCAGAGGGAAGTTGCACAATATGGGCACTTATCTACAGCAAGTGGTGTGGTGCCTGCAGCTCACTTGGTCTTGGAGAAAAATCTGGGGTGAGCTCAGGTGAGTGGTAAAAGCCTTCCCAGGAAAACCAGGGCTTTGCCCCTAAAAATCAAGTGTGTGGAGTGTTGTACCACATGACTTTCTAATGGAAAGAATTGAAGAAGACAACATTCCTGAGAATGTTCCTTCCTGAGAACAGAACAAAGTACTTTAGACTGTAAAATAACACCTTCTAGCTTTAGGCAGATGGCTGTTGGGCTGTGTGTTTCAGTGCCCTTTCTAAGGCAAGTCTCTTTCCAGCTATTTAACACCAAAAAAAAAGGTCAGCAACTTGCTTGTAAAATCTGAGATGGGGTCCTGGGCCATGGGCAGAGAGTAGGGGGAAGCCCTGTGGGTTGGGCAGGGGCAGCCAGTCCCAGTGGGGCTTTCAGAGTCCTAACATAGTCAATGGTTCTACCTGGAGTGTTTTATCCAGTGCTGGACCCCCAAATTCATGAGAGGTGTAGGAAACTGATCTGTCTCAAGGATTCCAAGATGGCATCGGCCTAGGAGGAGAGAGAGATGTAGACTGGTTGGAGACAAGGAAGGCTTGGGCTGACCCAATTAGCCTTGGAAAGGAGTTCCAGAGGCAGCACAGAAATGGCCAGTACCAAACAAGGTAACAGACACGGGTTGTCTCTTAGGACTTTCAAGCTGGCCATCAGGGGAAAAAATGTCACTAGGAGGTTAGTTGCCTATACAGGCAGCTGGGTCTCTGCCCCTGGAGGTTTTCAAGACTCAGCTAGACAAAACCTCAAGTGACTCAATCTAGTGTTGGTGACCATCCCGTCTGGGCAGACAGATGGATTTCCTGTGACCTAGGGGCCAATTTCATGAATGCCATCATCTATAACTGGAAACTGGTTTGACCTTCTGCCTCCATGTTTAGTAGTTCCCATTAAATCCCGCTGTGCCACAGAAAGGAGGCTCCCCCTTAAGGCACCATGCATGCCAGAGGCTTGTACTCTTGCAGTGCTAGCCATGGCTCCCAGGGCTGGGCAGGGCTGACCAGCTGCAGCTCCCCAGTGTGGAGTGCCCGGAGGGATGACTGGGAAGCCTGGACCTCGTGTTGCTCCATCCCCTGGCTGTGTGCAGCACCACAGTGACCCATGGCCAGCAACAGCACTTGGCACACACAGGGGACTGTTTGCCCTTGGAGCAGCCAACCAGCCAGCCATGCTATTCACTCTCCAACCAAGTTTTTCGGCTTCTGGCTGCTTAATAACATTATTCGTTGTTTCAATTTTCCCTTGAGGTTTAAGGAAGGGTGTCTTTGAGTGGCTGTACTAATTGCCAAGATTCCCTAAGCAGCTCCCTTCATGCCCTTGAAGTCCTGAGGGATTGCTGGGTTAAAGCCTGAGGAACTCCTGGGTGGGGCCTCCCACTCCCATTTTGCTGGGGGGAGATGATGCACACCCTGCTTAGCCCCTGCACAGGTTTTGCAGAACACAGAGGCTCCACTGCACCCTGAGGGGATAAATCCATGACAATGGAAATAAGTGAGAGGGAAGGGCTGCAAGGAGTGGTAGTAGGTGGGGTGCTGTAGATGGTGCCACCACTTTTTGTACATTTTGAACCTGTTGCTCAGTCTTGTTTTCCTCAGAGGTCACTGTGAGCCTGTGAGAGTTGCAGTTGCCTGTGGGAGTCGGGGCTGAGACTTGGCCGTGTGAGCAGCTCGGGGCCTCCCTTGGCACAAGCAGAGCATCTCTGGTTTTGCAGCGAGAGGTGAGAGTTGGACAGCTCTGCTTGGCACTGGGACCTGCAGTGTGCAATGTCTGAACAGCAGCCAGGGCTTTGACCCTAATTGCTTTCAGTAAATTAAGGCAACACTTAAGGAGAAATGGGCAGTGCCCCAGGGAAAGATGAGGCATTACAAATATATTTTCCGACGCCAGTTGACTGT